CCTGTTACATACTTTTAACAAAACCATTATACCCTGATTTCCCATTTTCAATGGGTTCAGGGTATAAAAAGGTTTTTATTAAAAGTCCAGTAAATGAAATGTTGATATATGTGTTTATATACATATACATTATATACATACATACATGTTTCTTGATAGTTGATGCTTGCATGTTTACCTTACATTGAATGCTAAAGAACTGGGACGGCCTAACTGTACTCTAAGTACACACAGAGCATGTACATATGTATGTATGTTAGCCGATATATGGCGTTTGTATATTTATATAAATGAGTTGTGAATATGTATATGTATATGTATGTATATGGTAATAACCAAAAAGATTCAAAATATTAAACATAGTATGTATACAAACGTCTATGTGTAAATACATGCATGCAGAAAAATTAAAACCTTTTATTGGGATTAAAAATAATGTAATTATATAAATACACATACAACATACATATTATATGTTATTATAACAATCAGTCACGTCTGCGACGTGAGCACTTTTTACCGCGCTTTATCATAAATTTTCCCGCCTATTTCATCAGGCTCTAACACTAACAAAACCGACTTGTGTACATGTGTTGAACATACATACCTTCTTGTACATCTGCCAGATATCATGATATTGTATGGGAAAGATTACAAATCGGCGCGGATTCTCTCTGAGCAGCGGCTCCAATGAGGGATCGAATGGCGCAGCAATCTTATCCACTATAGATTGGTCAGTCTTACCATTGCTGCTCGCTTGATCTTTGGCATTATCATCCGGGGTGATCGACATCTTGCGAACGTTGTTGGCGTTCTCCGTCAGAATTTTCTTGCTTGGGCTCTGCTTAAAAAAACAAAGAAAGAAAAATTAAAAAACAATGTAGACAGGAGAAAGAATTTATAAATAGCCGTAAATGAATTTGCATCGATTTAAATAACATGCAAATGACATCCAATATAGCCACATGTACATATACATATGATTAAATATATTATATACAAACTGTATAAGAACGTGTCTTGTCACCTTTAGCGAGAACTTTTCCATGTTGTCCGTAATGTTTTCTTTGCCGGCTACTTGAGATTGAGACATGTTCTTCGATTTATTTTTTACTAAATCACGAAATAAAAGCTAGTTTGATCGTTAACTAAGTTTTGGTGTACTCAGTTGTAGATGGTTCAATGGCTCAGAAGTTAATGAATTCAGCGCAATAGCACTTTTTCTTTATAAGCAGCGCGCGCATTTCTCGCGTACAGTTTTCCTTTCCCGCGTTCACTCCAATTGAACAGCTGTGCGCACACAACAAGTGAATGGCAAAAAATAGTGCTAGAAAATTACCACACAATTTTATATTTTCCGACACAACTATCAAGTCGGTCTACAGGTGGCAGCAGAGGGCAGTTTAAAGCTTTTATTATTGAACCGTTCTTAACTAAAAATATATTAGAATTAAAATTTAATAAATAAATATGACATATATAATAATCTACATCTACATTAGTGCTTTTGGTTCGTTCGCTAAAAGCAGAATATTATAAATAGTCATAGGTCAGTTACATAGTGAATGATTAACAAAACTAATGGGGTTTCACCTTTTAAAATTATTATTTCAATATTAATAAAAATTTGAGAATATTTAGAGATAAGTTCGATACATTAATATTAATGCCGATATCGAGCAGCAAATGAAGAAGTGTTGTAAAAGTCGCCGATTAGGATATCTTTGATAAACCGGCTGAGCAACGGAGAGTTTAGCTGCGGCATTTGAAATGTTTTTAATTTATTAATAAAATTTAACAATTAACCTTCAGTTAATTAATATCAGTATGGAAGAAACTCCCTTATCACATCATAAACGTCTAGCGTATTGCACAACCCGTCTGCAATATAGGCAAGGACGCGAACTTAAAGCTGTAAAGGTAAGGGAAACGCAAAGCAGAATTAAAAATAAAAATAAATAAAAGAATTAATAAATAATTTGTAGGTATATACGGTTGCTAGTGAGTCGCGGCATATATTAATCTTTGGTGTGCCAAAGGTCAATCTACACTCTGAAATCAAGAATAAACTGCAACAATTTGGGAAACTGCGTTCCTTCAGCTGTGTTAGCAGCGAAATGGCTGGACGAAGTGATTAAGAGAGATTTCTATATTATGTAGTTTAACTATAGTATCTGATGTTTACAGTTGAATTGGAGGCCTTTACAGACGTCTATGCGGCACAATTTGAGCGTCTAGAGCACGCCCGACGTGCGAAACGCCAACTGGATGCAAAACAGTTTTTTGGAGGTATTTTGCACATTTCCTATGCACCTGAAAGAGAGAATTTCCAAGAGTTACGGGAGAAGCTGCTGCAGAGGCGTAAAGAGATCAGCCAACGATTGCAGCGCAATCGGTCAGAACAATCACATTGAAATTGTTTAATTTATAATTTGTGGATTTTATTGAACGCCCTAACACATGATAACACGAGCCTCAAAAGCTGAACGATGATGATCCTCGGTTGATTACCCAAGTTTATATTATTATTTTTGTTTCGTTCGGCGCAGCTCGTGATAGTAATTTAGTAAGCTAATGCGTTTCGCCCACACCTGCGCGCCATAGTTTGCCCAAAAGCTGAAAGACATTGGTAAGATGGGGTTAGAAATTTTAAATGGAGCAAATGCTATTTTTGTTACTACTCACATGCCGAACAGGGCTCCACCTAAATGTGCCGCATGATCAAAGAATTTCCAGCCCATGACGCAGCCGGCAAAATCGATGCCCATGATAACTTTGATTGCAGCTCCCGCAGAGAACGTGACAGTTGGTAGGAACAATATGCTCAATTGCGTATCCGGGTATTGTGCACAGACGTAGGCCAGGACGGTCATAATGGCACCTGACTAAAGTATAGATGAGATTTTAAATAAATGTAAATGAATAAATTCCTCTACTAATACTATTTGTCATTATCTATATAAGACGCACCGCTCCTAGTGACATGCCGGGCTGTCGCGTTCCCGCTTTGTAGAGCACGCTCATCAAGCTGGAGAAGACGCCAGCGCTGAGGTAGACGGCCATAAATTGCTCCTTGCCCATGGATAAGACGGCAGCATTTGAAAAGCTATGCAGCACATACATATTGGCAAATATATGCATAACCGAGTAGTGGCTGAATGTGGAGAGGAACATGGGCCAGCACACAATGCCTGCAGAGTTAAAGTAGCTAATTAAATTGGATAATCCAATAAAGCAGTTAAGTGTGTTATTTACGTGCTGCTGGATTCGATGTGAAGTATGTCATCATCATATTCCGCATCGATGGAACACGCCACAGTCCAAATGCGAGCAGATTGCAAACCAAGAGCGGCGCAAAGGTTTTATCACCGGGCGACAGGGAGTCCCAGAAACGTTTAATGTCATTCTTTAACTGCGACCAGCTATCACGGTCTACCAACGAACGACTCTGCATCCAGCCGAATCGGGCCTGTTTCGCCTTAGAGAGGATCATGCTACGCGTATTCTCGTATTCAACAATTGTGGCACCTGCAAAGCAACCGAGGCTGAACTAAACAAAAGTTCAAATCAATAAGAAATAATTGAAGAGAGCGGCGCATGGAGCATTTCACTTACTGCGCCGGTAAATGCGATCGCCTTGATTACATTGCTCATTGGCACATGGCCGCCGCTATCGCCTGCAGGTGTGATGACAGGTGACTTTATGCTACTCCATCTGGCCTTCTGTGCATGGAAATGACGCACCGGCTGACCTGATCCGCATCTTTGTACATAGAAACTCTGGTGGCATGCTTGAAAACGTGTTGCGCCATTTCCAATATGAAATCGATAACTAAAATAACAACATAGATTTATGAATTTAAAATGTGGGCGTGGCTGTGCCTCCTTTATGGACATCCTTACTTACGTCACCTGTGTTAACCAACTTTGGCATAGCGCACGATTAATAAGCATAATATATTGAAGGTATCAAGAATTTTGCATAAGCTACGGTGTATATATATAATAAATAAAGTGTTTGCCTTGTGTTCGACGTACAACAAAGCTGGTTGACATAAAAATGTTGTTGATTTGATTTATTTCCAATTTCGTTAAACAATTAAGGTTCCGTTTCAATTTTTGCCTGGATTTCGATTTGGTTATTGTCCGTCCACGTTGATTTGTTCTCTGTGTTCTAATACGCCACAGCCGTATAATGTTGGAGGTGTTATGTTGTTTGCATCAGTCACCAGGTTATGTATTTACAAGTCGAAAGCTTGGCTTCAATGTTGTAATTATTTCAAAATATATGTTTATTTTTGTTGCTTTTGTTTATTTTTTGCCATTTGCTGTTTTCTCGTCCGGCTGTTAGTTTTACATTTCGCTTTAATGTTATTAACAGAACCAAAAATTGCTTAATGGCCAAATCTTAACAATTTAAAATTTTGTTAGAATTCTTTTCCTGATATTGACAAATAAAACCAAAATTTGTATTAGCAGGCAAGCTAAATGTGCAAATAATTTACTATAGCTGTTAACCTAAAGCTCAGAAATGCGTGTCATTTAACAGTGCTGTTAACCGGCTAGATACTCGATACACTGATAACAATTAACATATAACATTTATCTGTTTTATTACCTAAGATCGATCATATAAAAGTAAGAGTTGTACTATATCATGCTGATTTTGTTGGATAATTAATAAAAAGTAATTTAATTTAACAATTGTTCATTCGGACTGTTTGACGAATACAAAAATCTTTATATTGTAACAGTTGCTATCGATACTGTTTCATCGGTTATTTGACAGTTCTGATTGGCACTAATACAAATATGGCACATGTGGAGCCGGTAAAAAATAAATATTTTGATTTGCATGTTTATTTAACCGATTTAACGTTTTTTATAGCATAAGGAAACCAGCGAAGTACTAGAGCAAATATTGAAATTAAGCATAACTGAAAATGTTGCTGAAATTACGACATTATTAAAAAACTTGCGCTTGCTACTGACCCAAAGCCCGGAAAGTCAACGCACATTGGCAACAAATGCAGAATTTGCGAGGTTTGTTAGAGATGTTGTATTTAACCCAACTATGCGAACAGAGCAACGCACACTGCATATATTAACTCTACAAGTACTGGCCAATAGCGTAGTTAATAATGAAGAGTCCCAGGAAGCAATTTGGCAAGCACATGGACCCCAAATTGCAGAACAAGCAGCGATAGCTCCATTGGGCAGCTCAAATAATGTGCTGCTCATGATTATGTATAATGTATATATGGGCGCACGTTTGCCTGGAGATCAGCTAGTATTTGAAACGTGTGTGAAGCTGTGGCTGGCCGTCATTGAAACGCAAACGGATTATAATTTTGAATATTTGCATTTCTTGATGGAACAGTTTATTGTAAAGGATGGACGCAGTTGTGTGCAGTGCTATCAACGCCTGAAGTCTGTCGAGGAGCGTATAGGCTTTCTTGACTATGTCGCCCATTATCTGCGAGAGGACAGTCCAAACGGTGAAATCAACAACATATTGTTGCAATTTTTTGCCAAGGAGTTCCGTTTGAAATCCGATTGTATATTACGTGAAACAATTAAGCTGAGGCACCAGCTGCATCCACGCGAAGTACACACACTGCTGCGTATCATAGCAAGCGCCAGCGGCTCAGAAAAATATGCCAAAACATATGCAGCCGATCAGTCGCTGTTCATAAACGTGAGCAGCCTGCTACGCTGCGTAATTGCAGCTGGCAAGGAGCCGGACAGCTGCCTTGATAAACCCATGACAAAACTGGAGGAAGTGGCGCTTAGCTCTAAAATCGATGCAGACTATGAGACGAGAGTCTCCTTTGAGTTAAAAACCTTGCTTGTTCGCTGCACAGCCAATTTGTTGTATGAGAACGTGGCCAACAGGGGATACTGTCTCGATACTCAGCTGCTGCCAGCGCTGCTCGAATGCACAGTCATGGATGCGCGAAATCCTTGTAAGTGTTGTGTGAGGGAGTATCGATTCCTGAGATGTGATCGATGGGAAATGAAATAAACGCTTCTCTTATTCTCATTCTAGTGATGCGCGAGTGGAGCATTTTGGCCATACGCAATGCCTGCTTTAAGTGCCCAGAGGCTCAACAGGTGATAGCCCAGTTGACACTTCAAGGCGCTGCTCCAAATGATTTGCTCAGCGAATTGAATTTAGATTTGGGTGCACTGCGCATCACAGACAGAAAGCAGTAGAATCTGAGCCAAATAAGCACGAACAAGTGGCACGACGTCATCCACATTTGGCTTTTGAATGATGCGCTAAATGGTATGCCAAAAAACCTAACAAAAAAAAAAAATAATAATAAAATTAACAGAAAGAACGAAATGAATATAAGAAGAACGAACAGCATTCATAAAGTCGTTGTCAACGTTTAATGGCGAATGCGAGCGAGCGAGCGTGTGCGTTGGCATGCTGACTGGCGGGCTGTACGATTTGTACACATACATATATTATATAAATAGCTGCCCATGGCTCTGCAGCATTATAAAAAGAGCGAAGATGCCTAAATACATTAATTTCTAATTTTACGCACGCACACACTCACACACAAAGATATTGCTGAATAGAGTGTGCCTGCTGGCTCTTTTTTTTCTGATTTAATGGCGCAATTAAGAAACGATGACGCAGAGCTTCACGACTAGGTCTTGGGGATTCGCTTGCTACACAGCAATTCAGCTAGCCAGCTGCCCACTTAATCTCTCCGTCCAGTTCAGTCATTGAACCAGCCAGACAGTCTAACAGTCAGCAGTCAACCTTGGTCAGCTAGCTAGTATGCTTTTCCATTCAGCAATTCAGCCCTATACTCAGCAGCTAGGCAACTAGGTACATTATGAGCTATTTTGTGAAGCAGACAAGCCAATCGATTATTCAGTCAGGCAACTAGCTAGAGGGCTATTCAGTGCATTTATCTCATTTATGTCTAATCTGCCAAACTAGACCTTTAAGACATACAATACAATACAACTACCGATTGATTCAGCTTTTAACCAATTCAGCCCGTCTTAAAGTAGCTCAGTTGTCTTAAAAATTTAGCAATCTATCAGCCTATTTTACAGAAATTCAGCCAATCTATAAAAAAATCAGGTTCTCATTCAGCCCGTTTCACAGAACTTCAGCCATTCTCAGCAATTAAGCTAGTCAATCAGCAATTTATCCATTTTATCAGTAATTCAGAACTCTCTCAGTAATTTTATAATAATTCAGCTAGCCCTTCAGTACTTAAGTCTTGTGGAAATTCAGCTGATCTCCCAGTAATTCAGCAAGTCTCAGTATGCCTTTAGTTACCTCTTAGTCGATCAGCTTTCAGCTGGCCGCCTAGCCAAGTAAATCTGCAAGTCATGCAGCCAGCCATTCAGCCAGACACACAGCAAGCTAGCCATTCAGCTACACATTATGCCAGTCAGCTATTTGGCTAGCCCTTCGTCCACTGAACTAGTTAGACAATCAGCCAGGCAGCCTGCCAGCTAGCCAACTAGCGCCTGCTGCAGGTGGCCATGCACTGCTTGGCTTTCACGATACGGTTGCTATATATACATATGCATACATATGTTATATATGTAAATTTATTTATATACCCCTGCCTAATGTACACACATATGTCTTTGCTCGCGTTCGTGTGTGTGTATGTGTGTGGCTCTCTTCCTAGCACGCCCGCAATTATGTTTATGTTGCGAGCCGCAGAAAACTTTGTGCGCTCGCAAATCAACGCCGGCGGGCTAAAGCTAAATCTAAAGCGAACAATGGCAGAGCTCCTTTGGCTTTTGTTTTTGTTGGGGCAACCACTGGCGATGGCATTGCCTTTACTCTTGCCTCTATGTAGTCGCAGTCAGTCAGTCTGTGGCAGTGCCTGTGCCTCGAAGCAGCAGCAGCAGCACCAGCACCAGCAGCAGCAGCAACAGCCGCCGCAGCAGTCGCGAGATATTTCGACGGTTTCGCTTCGATTTAAATTGTGTTGTTTAAATTCGCTCAAACCCAAAAATATATTTATTTATTTTAATTAGTAAAAGGCGCGTAAAAAGAAAAGGAAAGAAAATCACAAATTTCGTTCGTCAATATAAACAAAAACTGAAGCAATAAAAAGAAACGCATTCGCATTCAAATCGACGTCAACTATAAAAATTCAGTTGCAAGTTCGAAAGTTTTAATGGTAAACAATGTTGCATTTAATCTAAATATTTGAAACAAGTGTCTGCCTGCACTTATATAATCATAAATCAAAAATAAAAAAAAAACGCATAACAGAAAAACCAAAACAAATCAAAATCAAATTGAGAATTAATTTATGCACCAACTGTTAAACTAATAAACTTAAAAATAATACGAAAATCGCACTAAAAATTGTTTAAGACATTCACAACATTTGTTGTTTGCATAATACATATATATAAATTTGACTAGGTTTTTTATTTTATTTTAGATTTAGGCTAAATATTTTTGTTATGCGCGTGTGTTATATATATATATTATATAGACATATATATCTTATATATATGCATCTAAAAAAATTCCCATGTCAAAACTGTCAATCGAAAGCAAAGTAAAAACTTTCAAGTGGGGCATCGTCGACTGCTTAATGCACGTTCAAAATTCTTAAAATATGTAAACTGAATTCCAATTTAACTTGCAACTCTCGCATTTTGAAACTCAATATTCTACTTATACTTGATATTTTGAATTCACCAAAACAAACATATCTCAAGGCGTAGTTGAGTAAAACCTAGTGATTCTAATAATACAACTGTCAAAAATATTGTTTATTTGGATCTACCGGGCTACATACAATAGATGAACCATACAATATACAATACACGCAAATATATTTAAATACATATATACATATATAACATGAGATGGATATGAATATAAGTACATATGCATGTGTATATATTGTACATAATATAAATATATAAACTGAGAGGCGGTTATTTAAGATATGTATATACAAATATATATTAGCACAATCTAAAGAGAAAGTAAAAACAGAAATCTATGTATGGATACTAGCTCAAATACAACAAACACTTTTTTCCGATCGGTAATATCCCAAGTTTATATATATTTATGAATTTTTAATACTTGGCTGTGATATACATACATATATGAAATTCCAACGCTTTACCTCTAATACAATAGTCCTGTTTTGGACAACGCCAGATCTCTCTACATGCACCTACGATAAACTATACTTAATTTCCAGTTGAGCAGCTGAACAGCTAGACAGACATTGCGCTAAAACCAATATGCTCTACTTGTTGTCGCTTTGTGAACGAGTATAAATAGATATACATACATATATACACGGCAAATAAAAGACAATGAAAAAATTGTTGAAAAATTACGTTCTTCAGAAATTTGTCGTGCGGTCAGTTTTCAGGTTGGTTCAGTTAAATGGATATATATTTATTTATATA